TTGGACTTACCTGGCCGTCCTCACAACAGCGAGTCGACTGCCGCGGCTCCCCTGTCGACTCCGCTTACTCCTCCTGCGGAGGTGAAGTACGGGCGTCGATTAGTGGATCGATTTATCGTGTCCAGACAAGACGCAATAAATCAATCCTCGATACATCGAACACTACCCGCCGATCCGGCGGGTAGTATAGACGTACCCTTAGATATGCAGGCACCAGACCTAATGCCTCCCATCTTGGGAAGAGGCATCCCACTGAAGGGCTTGGAGAAATCTATAGGTGTTCGATTTACTTCATTATTTTCTTTCCTATGAAAGCTTCACTTTGATGTAATGTATGGTTGGTCTTTTTACCTTGAACAACCATCATTGTGTTCTCCCTATCTCTTGCCCTAGGCCAAGACTAAAAGTGTCCACGTCACCTAGGGACAGGAAACAAAATATTTATCCCCAGTAGCCACCCCTAGGCAGCTTACAGCCCTGCTAAATTCAACAAACAGGCAGAACTTTGAGTATACAATAATCCTCTGGACACAATTATCAGAGAAACCTATCCAGTGGGCAATAGCGAAGCATGGCCATGTTAAACTGAAGTGAAAATAACCTGAATGTCCCAATTCTCTCCCTTTTCTGACTGCTGAATGTTACTCATTTACTGTTGCCCTAAGCCTTGGCCTGTCCACCCCATAGGTTAATATGTCACTGATCCTGAATGGGAGAGCTAATTTAATTTCTGTTTTAAGGGTAACACACAAACAAGTCTCCATATATTTCCCAGTTACCATTAACTAAACTCTTCATGTTTAACAATAACTTCTGATCCCTAAAGAATTTATGTTCTTTGGTTTCTCTGCTCCTTTAATATTTATTCCTTAAGAATAGATTAGGTTCTGACATTTCTTTGTGAACCAGAGCTCCTTGGTATTTGAGGCCCTGATTTGACATTTTTATTACTGTGTATGTTTATTTCCAGGACCCTGTCAATACTGAGAGATTGGCCACATACCCAGGATATCAAGATTTCTGTTTGTATACTTCCCTACACTGGTAAGACAATGCACTGTCTTCAGCCAATTATCTAGCTGAATTCCTCATCCTTCTAACTAAAGGGTGGGGTAAGGAAAACTCAGTTTCCATGGTCAAGGGTTATGATGTTGAAAGTTGGCTTTTGAAAGGAGCCACAAGTAGCTACAACTGAAGTAATCTTGAGAGCTAAGCGTTACCAGGTCCAGACACATGCACTGATCGTCGGCGCCTTAGGCGCATGGGACCCCAGTAACTAGCGAGTGCTGAGAGAATGCGGAATTGGTCAACGCTACGCTCGGCTGATGTGGCAACTCATGGTGTCGGACGCCATCAGGTGGTCGAGGGACATCTACATAGAACATACCATGGACATCGGCAATACCAGGAGGGATGGTTTAGGATTAGATTAGATGAGCTGGCGTGCCGATGAGAAGTGCAGTCAGGAAAGTAACAAATACTTTCCTCGTGGATTGTATTTTCTAAATGGACAACCAACCTAATTCTCAATAGCGAGGGACAATCTCCACTCATTGATATATTTTGTTTTCCACAACCAAATCTCTGTACAACCTTTCACGAGTGATGTACCCGAGTATTCAGATTCTAATATCTAAACTGTATTGTTAAATCTATTCACCTAAATTTGGGTTATTGCTGACTATGTACTCTATGTATCATATGACTTTTAAAAACTAACTTTATAGTTGTGGATAATCTAAGCACTATACCCAGATGTACAGACACTCTTTTCCCAACCTATGTATTATATAATTTTTTTAACATAAGATTTTTAAATCTTTTATTGGACCAACTTCTGTTGATGAGAGAGACAAGCTTTCGAGCTTACACAGAGCTCTTCTTCCAGTCTGGGAAAGGTGTTCCCAATCTCACAGCAAAATGCAAGGTGGGACAGATTTTTTAGCATAAGTAGTTAGCACATATTCTAAGGAACATTCAAGGTAGAGTGGCCCGTTAACACCTCTGCAGTCATAGGACATACATGTCTTTCCTGAACATCTGTGCCTGAATCCCAAGAGCAGGCCCAAGGAGAGGCCAGAGCTTTCATGGCCTATGGGAATGAACCATGGACCTCTGGCAATCAATGAGAATGTGAGTTAATGAGAGGATTCAGTGCAACTATTGAAGCTATTGAATCCAATTAATCTTTGGCACTGCTGACTTAAGGGGAGCAATACTAAAGGATTAATTGGGCCCACAGACTGGATAGAACAGCTAACCAGTGCACACTCTCGTCCTGGTAAATGCACACCATTCTCAATTCCCATTAAAGTCAATTTTTAAGCCAAACATTTGAGCCAAAAGCGGGCAGTTTTTGCCTAATTCAACTGCATTATCCCCCTTTACAGTTAGAGAAACTAGACACAGAGGAGAAAGTGACTTGTCCACTCACACAAGCAAGTCAGTGTCAGATGCCAGATTTCACTCCAGTTCACCCGATTGAGGTAATAACTTTTATTGATAATATCTTTTATGTTATTATTTCGCCCATCTTGTCTCTCTAATATCCTGGGACTGACCCGGCTACAACTACTTTGCATATAGCCCCTCATCTAGTCTACTAGATCACAGCTGTGCCATTAAAATTAACAGATTCATAGTACTGTTCCTATCAGGAAGTACTCCTGGAGAAGCCACAACTAGAAACTTCTATGCATGTGAAATCAACAAAGAACAGGGGAAAAACACCATCCTCATTTCTTTTCTTAATCCTCAACCTATGCCCGTAGCTGCTTGGTATAGCAGGGAACAGGATGACAACTGAAGCATGAAATTAATCCAATGGAAATTTAATTTCTATACTAGGTTATTAGAAATATATTTTCTTCTATTCTCTGTTGCAGAAAGCAATGAATCGTGTAAGCAAGTCAAAAGGAACTAATATACTATGGTAGGAAGGGTCCATTTATAAAGCAACATCCACATCTACAGACTTGGGAAATAACTCACACAGGTTTCCCTGGAACATCCTCACATGGTTATAATCACACATGGCACTGCCCCAGGGTGAAACCAGGAAGTGGCACTTTTCTAAAATATTACATATTGCATTAGCTGTTGCAGCACGAAAATGGCATTTCCTGCTTTGTTTGAACTTTTTATGTTATTTTTTCCCCCTGGGAGGCTCGAGCCCCACCCAGACTCTAAAACCAGGAAAAGGGGTTTTTAGAATCTCACACTCCCTTGAGCAGAGTAGCCCTCCAGAATAGTATTGTTAATGTAAGTGTTTAACTAGGGATTTGAGAGCTTGCCATGTCTTTTGCTTTGATGCTGCCAAGGGTGGAGAGGAAGAGATTTCCTGTTAGGTCAGAGGGAGGGTATGTAGGTGTTCCAAAGTGAAGGATTAATGAGAATGTAATCAGGAATGTACTTCCTCAGTTGCACTGAGCTCACAGGGAGGAGGCAAAGATGGCTCTAAGCAAATGTTAATCCTGGAGACAATTCTGGCAGTACAGGATCATCCCCTCTGGCCTCGGTTATGCCTCCTACATGGACAAGAGGTTTAGGCGATGTAAAGCTGGCTATATTGCTTTATGTCCCTGGGGGACTCCCCTGTGTCAGGGGAATTTCCAGCTGCCCCTTTAGGGAAGCTTCAAGTCCCCTTTGTTCTTTAAAGCAGTGCAAAGGGGCTCACCGAAGCCTGAGGGTCCAACCCATGGTGGTTTTGCGCTTGTAGACACTGGGCTGGATACCCCCACTGCCTTGCACCTTGTGTTGTCATTTGCACCTGAATGAAGGTTGTTTTATACTCACTGTTCACAGGTATAAAGAATTACACAAGATGCAAAACAGCAGAGGATCAGGTCTAGGGCATTTACAGTGAGTCACGCAGAGGTCCTGACTTACCACTATTATCCATTTTCATGGCAGTGTCACTCCATTGATTAAACAAAACAAGTTTACCTTAAAATAACTTTGAGATTCTCTATTTCACAATGGTTTCTATTAAGACCTAAATTTTCTCAGGTCTAATCTACTCATGAGTTCCTCCTCCTGCTGGGAAATACAATGCTCTTATCATTACAGTGGCAGCCCCAACTCCTCCCCAATTCAGGCAACACTGAATGGAGACATTGAAAAAGGGGCAGGAATTTCTGAAAATTCCTACAGTCAGTAAATATTTATTTAGTTCTCTAAGGCCCCAATCACGTCATTGGATTCACATGGACAGAGCCCTGCATCAAATTCCTCTCAAGTGCAAAGGTCCTGCTGCATGGGTCCAATTGCAGGATCAGGGGTAGATTTTATAACCAATCGCTGAAGTTTTCCTTCCAAGCTGAACTGCAACGATGATCACGAAAGTACCATATTAGTGACACCTAGACAATTCATCACATTTGTCTAGAAGATTTTCTGCTTTCCCAGGAAGTTTCATTCACTAGAGGAAGTGTGACCTAATGGAGAGAGCACTGGACTAACTCAGATGACTTGGGTTCTAGTCTCAGCCCTGCCACTTAGTGACTTTAGGCAAGTCACGTCTTCTGTCTATGACTCAGTTTCCCCATCTTAAAATGGGGATAATGATACTTCTCTCCTCTGTAAAGCATTTTTAGATATACAGCTGAAATGTGCTATATCAGTGCTAAGTACTATTATTATAAATGTAAACTCCGATTTGTTATCAGCAATTTATTATGAACATTCCAGGGTTCTCTCCTTGCAGTGTTACAACAAAGGATTAGATTGCACAGCCATGTAAAGGCAATACAGCAGGACCACAGAAACCACACCTACAAATCATTTCCTCCCTGTACCTTGTACCTAACAGCAATCACCTCACATGAGCCAGGCCCTCAGTGGAAAACTTCAGTGTGTCCAGAGAAAATAGTAATTACATAGCATTCAATAAAATGCTGAATGATAAAGTGATGAGCAGCCAAACATTGTGTGGTGTGGAGTGAAAGTACAATTCCTTTGTGCGCACGCGCACGCACACACACAGAGTATTGCAGACTTACCGGCCACCACACCATGCTCCGTCCAGCTAGGAAGAATCCACCCACAGTCCCTCGGTTTGTTGAGAGCATGGCCTGGAAAGAAAAAAGAACTGGTTAAAATGTTCAGCTCTAATAAGCCAACTATAGCCTGATGGCATCAACAACCAGGGCAGTGATGAGAAAGAGGAATCAAGGTAATGATCAAAAAGGGCCAGGGAAGAAAGAATCTGAAGGGAATAATATGACCTGACAATGACTGAGCAATGATTCTTATATCAATCTATAAATTAACCATTCCAGCTTTATTGCTTCAACTTTCATTACACAAAGCCTGCAAAACCCAAATCTAAACACCGCACATGTTAAAATACAATGAACTATACAATAAAAATAAAACAAGAAATGCATCACTAACCAAGGGCCTTGCCTGCAAACTGTCACTCATAGGAGCACTCCTTGAGGTGAGCAGGCCTCAAAACTGCCGATGTAGCGAGTTCTATGTTCATGCACTAGAGATGCCATACCGAGCTTTCTTACTCAATACTAGTGTGCTCCAGAGTTTTCCTGCAGGAATCTACTGCATGGCAATTTAACCTTTCCTGTTCTGATTAGATCATCAAGGAACCCGCACTTCACTTTTTAGCCTTTCTTCACTTCCACAGAGTAGCAGTTAAGAATTACTTTCCTCGCTCTCATTTTATATGTCAGGAGTGACTTAATGGGAAATTTCCCTCACATTTTTCACAGAGCCTGATCCAAAACCCTTTGCAAACAATGATCCTTTGGATCGGGCCCAGAGAGTGTGTGAGAAAAAGTGAGCCAGATCATTGATCCTAATATAGAAGCAAGAAAATAAACAAACAGGGGCATGTTTCACTACATACAATAGTTGAATCAAGACGCATTTAACATTAAGCTTCTTAGAAACTATTCAGAACTACAAACTTCAATGCTCCAGTGCCTGACATGCCACCTACCAGCCCTCTTCTGCCCCATGAGTTTATGTTACAAAGAATTACAGTCAATAATAAATTACAACAATCATACTTCAGGTCAGATTGTACCTTTAAGGCACAAGCCTGATTCCCTCCCAGAGCTCCCCAAGAGGCAATGGAGGCATTTCTGACACCAAACCTCTTAGAGAAGAGCACGCTGCACCCTTCTGAGTCAATGAACAGCTTGGCTGGCTAGAGTGGGCTGATGGGGGGACTCCTGGCCCTGCCTCCTCCCCATTCTTCCCTGCTCCTTTGAGGTTGCTTGCGCCCCAGGGTGCACTAGGAAGAAGCAGTGCTCTCATGAAAGGTATGGGCCCTCAATTGTGTTTTGCTTCTGTGGGAGGTGGTGGGTGGAAATAAATGGCCAGGCTGTCTGGTACAATCCAACCCTTGGCATTCAATACACTCAGCCAGAGGTACAGGTGCAGGTACTTCACATCTTCAAAGTGCTGAACAAACATTAACTAGTTAATTGGCATCAAAAGTTAATCACTTTTCAAAACTCTGTCAGGCTGCTAGTGTGGAAGATTTTGTCTGCAGCTGCCTGCTCTGTTCTATGGCATGGACTCCTGGGTTATTTCAGGGGAGTGCACAGGTCACTGAGGGGCAGGTTTCCCTGACTCAATTCTGTTAACTGCTGGCTCTTTCCTCAAGGGACTAGCAGAATTTTCCCCATGGACAGTCTCTGATGTCTCCTCAGATAGAATACAGACTCTGTTCCTGAAAGGGATATCAGCTCTTCAATCTAGTGACACACAAGTGTTTTCCACTAAGGCAACATTAGTACAAACACTATCTGCCCTTTTCCTTTGAACCCTGCAGAATCAAGATTTATTCTAATAGGACAATATCTGCCTTTCACCTTTTAGATGTGAAAGAATTCTTCTCTCTAAGGCTGCAGTCTCCGTACTTCCCTCTGCATCATCAGCATGCTTCAGGAGGAGGCACAATCGTATCTGCTTTAAACAGAAAAGACCCTAACACCAGCAGCACTTGTCCTCACTGAGATTTGTTCCTCCTCAGAGTCTAAATGCACCTGCTCTTTGCAGTGAAGTCCTATTGATGAAAAGCTGGCGTTCTCCTGTGTCCAGACCATGTCTGTTCTCTCGTCCATTTCATATCCATCCCGCAACAATCCCCATCTGCCACTCCATTACCATCTCTCCTCCGCCTTTAGCTCTATTCCAGTCCCCACCATTTACAACTCAGTCCAGTACTCACCCCCCCCTTCCTACCACAATCAACCCCACTGCAATCCCCATTTACCCCACCTCTCACACTTCACTCCAACTATTACTCCATCACAAATTCCCATTTGCAGGCTCCTCTGCTCCATCCCCACTCACCCCCGCTACCATCCCATTCCCATTTGCACCCCCACTCTGTTCCTTATGTCCCCACTCTAATCTGCTAAAAATGTCCACTTCACCATTATCCTGATCTCCATCCATTGGCCCTCTCCTATAGTTCCTTCCCCATCCACAACCCTCCTTCACCTCAGCCCCATCTATCCTCCCCTCCACTACCATCTTATCATCTTCACCCCCAATCCAGATCTCATACCAGGTCCTACTGCCCCACTGAAGCCCAACTTAATCCCCATCCTGCCACCTTTTCAGCTCATCCCCCAGTTAAGCAGCAGGCATTTTACACAATTATAGTTTTAATATATGAAGCCATTCTCCTAAAACCCAATAAACCACACTTTCATTAATAAAGAAAAATCCAGACATACCCATAGTCCCACTGCTAGGACTACCACAAAATAGATGACTATGACTGAGATGTCAGCAGGGTTATTGATTTTTTCGGAGGAGTCCATCCTGCCTGCTTCTCCAGCGCCTTTCCTTCTTCTCTCCTTATAATGTCTCTCACAGACTTCAGGTTAATGATAAACCCCTGTCGTCCCCCTCTGTCTTGTATAATATATAACTTTAGATACACTTGTTTCACTTGTATGGGTAACAAAGTGAAGCTGATGCTCTTTCCTGAGCTGGGACTGTCTCCAAAAAACTGCTCCCCTATTACAGCTGTTGCTGATTTCAGAGCTAAAGACCGACCCGAATTCACATCCCCTGGAGAAGGTGCTCAGAGTTGTTGCAGACGGAGAGCAGGTGTCTGGGAAGGAGTGAGCTGTGGAAGGAGTGGCTTGGACATAATATACCCAGTGTATGCACCTCACTGTTTGCAGATACTCTTCCTGGATAGGTTGTTCCTGTAAATCTGGTCATGGAATTAATTGTTTCCTTGAGAAATTGATACTTACCAAGCCCAAAGAAAGAGTGACTGACACTTAGGGAAACCCCACAGTTCCATGAGCTAATACTCCTGCTGTGCCATCCCTCATCCCAGCAGGAATACACAATGGAGGTACAGCCCAACATTTCTGGAACAAGACAATAGGAAACCATTATTATCTCTTACATCTAGATCTTTATAGCGATATGTCTCAGCCATAAATTTGAGATCCAGAAATGAACGCGCCCCTCCCCCCCCCACCGCAGTGTTCAAAACCAGGGTTTTTATTCTGCCCACTGTGGCAAGCTATGATGTTCTAATTCCAGATTCAAATAACCCCTAAAGTTCAGTGTTACTTAGGTATGGTCCCAGATGCAGTTATTTATTCTTTCTTGGACTTGAAAATTAGACCAAACAAAATGACCTGATGCAAAAGAAAACTCAAAGATGTGGGGCAGGCTGTGATTGTCCACGGAGCTCCTAAGTCACTCAAAAACAGCCCCTGAAAAGGGAAGTTTCCTCAGCTCCCTGTGATCCTCTCTCATTGAGCAGGAGGTGGATACCACAGCCAAGATCAGAGGGGTGCAGGAGACGTAGGCAATAGACAGGTGTAAGAATTTCAAGGTTCTAGGGATAGCTGAAAGTCTGTCTCCACCTTTGCTTTACCCCACGCAATCATAATTCATTTACAGTTCAGTAGGCTGCCAGCCAGGAATTGATTGCCACGTTGTATTTACCCTAAAGAGAATGAACAATACAGAACATACAAAGCATAGTGGGCTTCATTGTGATCTTGTACTGGTTATAGGTCATTGATTTCAGTGGAATTACTCCTGATTTTCAGAAGTGCAACTGAGATCTGACCCTCTGTTGTTAGGGAATCCTTTCCAAGGTGTAATTATCCTATGACATTTTGCTTTTTTTCTAAATTCTTATTAGTAGTAGTAGTAGTAGCTAAACAGAAGCGTATCTATATGTAAAATACCATAACAAAGGACCATTAATCTGACGTTATAGAGTAAAACAAGAACTCCGTCTTTCTCATCTATACATTGCAATGAGAAAGGCACCTATACATTTCCTACAAAATGCTATCCTCTGATAATTTAGGCACCTCTTCAGCACAGACTTTTATTTATTCTACAGACAGGCAGTGAAAATGCTGTTTGTAAAGCCAATAGGTGAAAAAAATAACCCTAAGAACTGCTTAGCACCCACAATTCCTAATAACTTCAACTTTTCCTGTTGTCTGCTCCAGAGAAAAAGGTCTTATTTACTAACCCTAATTACCAGGCAACAGTTTGTCTAAGGTAGGATGTAGCTGGCCTTTCATATAAAGGCTGATGCAAATGGATTCCCATGTGTCCTTGTAACAAATGAATTGTTTTATTTTCACTCACTCTTAGTTCATGAATTGAATTCCAGTTTCAGCTCCTGTAGCCACAACAAACTCTAACATAAGAAAATAGTAAGTTGTGGAGCACATGGGCCTGATTTTCCACTGCCTTGCCCCCTGAGTTGTCATCCACCCCTGTGCAAACCATCACTAAAGAGACTGTAAGATGCTACTACTGGCATAAGTGAGTGGAGAATTCTGCTTTACACCCACTGCACACACTTTGGCCAGGTCTAGATGATTCCACAACATGCAAAGACAGGAGAGACTCAAACCCCAAGAATAAATAATCACACAATTCACATCTTTACCTGCGGTGGCTGTATTGGTTTGGTTCTGCTCTCTCCATGTCAGGTACAGACGTAACTGGGACACTGATTACAGACTGGCTGTGAGGTAATCACAATAGTTGTGCCTCCATATCCTCATACCTGCAGTTCATCTGGAATCCCACAGAGGCGTTGTACTCAGCAGAACGTCAGCACAGCACAGCCTTTCACACACACACACAGCACAGACAGAGTCAGCCTGTGGAATTCACTGCTGCGGGCTGTCAAACACTCAGGTACTCTAGCTCAGTGTTTCACAACAACTGGTCCGTGGACCGGCGCTGGTCTCAGATTTCCCTGACACAGTTTAGGAAGGCAGCAAGCCAGTTCCCAGCATCAAAAAGGTTGAGAAACACTGCTCTAGCGGGTTTTTAAAAAAAAGATTGGCCAACAATATTTGTACTTATGCATGCACAGATATGAGTAACAACTTTCTGCTGCAAGGTGAGAGCTTCTCAGCAGAGGGCAAGAATCTCTTCCACCACCCACTCCTGAGCAGGGCATTCACAATTAGCTAGGTGCATTATTGGTATAAGGCTACGATTTAGTCATGGAGGTCACGGCAGTCATGGATTCCGTGACTTCTTCAGCTTCAGCTGCCAGCAGCTGGAGCCATGGCTGGGGCTGGAGCCAGGGCTATGCTCCCCACATAGCCCCATGGTGAGGGCCGCTGCTGGAGCCATGTGCCCCCCTGCTCCACAGCCAGGGCCATCCCTAGGGGGGTATGGGGCCCAGGACAAACCCCATTCCCACACCCTTTCCCCACGTCCCCACCCCCACCCCACTTCTTCCTGCCCCGCTCCACCTTTTTCTGGCTTCCGCCCCTTCCCCCGAGCAACACTGGAAGCTGGTGGGGTGGGGTGGGCTAGGATCGCTGCTGCCGCTTCCCGTCAGTGAGTGCGGGCCTGACCCCCGCTGCTAGTGCCAGGCCCCCCGCTAACCTCCCGGGCCAGCCTGGCCCCCTGCACCCTAACCCCACCCCCACGGGCCGGCCCCACCCCCGCACGACACACACACGGAGCAGTCCCTAGGGTACGGCAATTCAGGACGGCCGACACGGGGCCCCCCCAAAGCGCCGGGGACGGGCTAGCTGCCCGAATTCGCCGTACCCTAGGGATGGCTCTGCCCGCGGCTTGCGCTGGGGGCTGCCGCCAGGGCTGTGCCTCCTGCCCCGCAGTGGAGGCTGCAGCTGGAGCTGTGCACCTCTTCCGCAGCTTGTACAGTTATTTTCAGTAAAAGTTTTGTTTGTTGCCCCTGACCTGTCTGTGACTTCTACTAAAAATAATCGACACAAAATCTTAGCCTTAATCATTGGACATTTTTATCTTCCTGAAGTACCAGCTCCAAAACTGGGCACTACTGGAAGCAGGATACCAGACTTGAGTGACCAACAATCTGATTCACTATGGAAAATCCAACATTCTTTCCTATGGGGCCAATTCACCTCCCTAAGTCTATGGGAGACTTTCCACTGATTTTAATGGGAGTGGGATCAGTCTAGAGAGACTATATCAGCATAACATGGAGAACTGGAAAAAAGTCCTGAGCATGAAACTCAGCTGTCCCACCGTCTACCACTGCTAACCCTGGTTCAGCTCCATTCTGTGTTTACATTAGGAAACCTAGTATACATGGTAACTGGCGCTGCAGGCATTTTTAGGTCCATGATGATTATATTTACACTCAGTAGGACTGGATAAAATGCTGATGTTGAATCTACATTATGGCTCCCAATGTGCTTCACCATTTGAGAAGAACCTGCATTAGCAACAGTGGGGAATTTTCTAGACAGGACACTAGAGCAACCAGCACACGCTTTTAATACCTCCCTATTTTTATTTGTGTTCATCCATTAGCTGATTTATACCTCACTAAGCTCTACACCTTCCATAGACTAGCTCAACTGCATGATTTTAATCCATGCCTACACTTCATTATTATATCCTCCATCCACCTTCACCTGACTGGGGTAAGTGCTGAAGAATAACACTCCACAAATATTCACTCAAATTTTTTACATGAATTTGCTTTGGACACACAATGTGTCTGCTCCCATGAACATTTAAATTATTGAATAATTGTTAAATAGTGATAACCATTGACAATAATTAGAACAAGGGCTGCAAAATCTTTTTCCACAAAGCTCAGCCAACGAGGCAATCCCAACCTGTTGCACCGTCTAACAGGTCACTTTTGCATCCCCACACAGCTTTGCTTGTCCATTGCGAATGTCATATGCAACAGCAGTGCTATTTCTTTCCTGGGCCCCAGACAGTTCTGTTGATGCCCCTTGCTTCTCCTGACTCAAAATGCCTCTGCTAGTCCAATCTTTAGGGCTGTCTCCTCAGCAGAGAATTATTGCGATGAATAGTGTGGTAGGCATGTGATGTAGATAAATAGCCACAAGTGTGAAATACATGCTTATTGATAATATTGCATTTAACGGTGTACATTGATGTAGTTTTTCGGTGGGGATTGGAGCCCACAAAAAGGATTAACAGCACTGCACATGCATCTAATTGAGGACTGAGTTGCATAACTGATGAGAATAAATTCTCTTAAACATGCTGTACTAGTAACAGCAGACACTCAAACCCTGTTGCTGATGAGGAAGATTCTATGAGTTAAAATGGGTATCTTGATGCAAAGCAAAACAGTCATAGGGAAGGTGACACACCTGCCCAGCCCTGGGAAAAATCCAGCCACTTTGGACCGCAGGTGGCTGAGGCTGGTGCCCTCCCAGGTACACGCTCTAGGAGAGGACTTAATGTTCTGGGGAGAAGTTCTGACACAGTCTTACAAGAGCTGGCTACCCCCGGATCAAAATGTCAGATCATCCCTTGTTGTTAGCCTTCCTCCTGAAGGTGGCAAATGATGCTGAAAATAATAAGTAAAACAATAAATGATAAAACACAAGCAAAAAGAGAAGTTTACTAGTGATGAATTAGATTATCTGAAGCCCACAGATTACCTTCATGTCAGAGAGGTAAACAGATAATACTTTGAACCATCATCCCATGCGAGGAAGCCTCCAAAAATGGAATTATTCAGGATGGGAATTGACAGGGCATATTCTCTGGAGTGACACTGGAAATGGCATGGAAACAGGGGCATCTCCACTAAGCTTCTTCTGACCATAACTCTGCAGTAATATGTTCTATCATGGTAGAGGACTCATCAATGGCATCATCCCTCGTTATACACAGTGGACTATGTACAGCAGATAAGGGGCAAACCAAGC